CTCTTTCCAAGCTTCCCACCTCCTCCGCATACACCTTCTGTTAATTTTAAGAGTTCCTACTTCCACATGGAGGATTCTGTCAGGAAGACAAAAGTGTGTTTTGAAAAATAACTTTTTACTTGAGCTGGTTTACAAATTTTTTATCAAAACATTTTTTGTTGGAAAAAAAAAACCAGTCAAAACAGAAATCACTAATTGGAAAGCATAATTTTGAAAGATTCTAGAAAAATAAATATACTTCAAAAAAATTTTAGAAAACTTTTTTATTAGAGCTGACTTAGATTTTAATTTTAATTTTCAAAAGTAATATTGGGAAAAAAAATTAAAATTTTAATATAAAAACAGTATTTGTAATTTTGAGGTTATTGCTATGACTGCTTTTGAATTGTGTGTCATGTTGATTTTTTAGTCCTAGTTCAGGATAGTAAAACTCTTCAGTGTTTAGTCTGTTCTTTGTTTTTTCCCAGCCTGGATTTTTTTTTTTTTTTAATGATTTCATTTATAATAAGAGTACACACCAGGGAAAAAACTTATATGCATAGGAAAATCCTATGACTGCAATTACTAGGAAATATTAGTATTATTGTAGCACCTAGTTGTGCTTTTCATGGGACAAACTACCATGATGCTGTTCTCATTCCAAAGTTTCTACAGTCTCAGAAAAGGCAACCAGCAAATATTTATACAAATATGCAGGGGTGCCAGGGGAATAAAATAACACCAATGTTTGCTCTGGGAGTTGGTGGTTTCAGCACACTAAAATCTAGCTACTCTCCAAAGTATATTTTTTTAACAAAGAACATCGTTGTATTGAATGTTCATATTTTAAAGGCTTGGCCTTGAAAACAGTCGATGGAGTAATATACTACACACAAGTCTAAGAAGGGTGATATATGGAAGAAGTGGGAATAGGTCACTGAATGAACATTGCTGTAGTTCTGTTTTTTTTTTTTTAAATATGTGGTGATCTTCAGCTGCTGCTAAAAGTTAATAGAAGTGATCCATAAATGGGTGAATGAAACAAAAACACCACCAAAGAACTGAATGTTTTAGAAAAGATGTCAATGGTACCTACAAGCAATGCATATTACTCAAAACTAGGCAAGACAGAAAGTGGCCTCATGGCTAACAATAGGTTCTGATACCTTTTAAAGTTTTTTGAAAGCTTCCTTCATCAAAATTGAATAAAAATTAGCTTTGTGATTTTTATTGCAAATGTTTTAGGCATAGTACACTCATAAATATTCAGGGAAGTTCTATTTAATAAAGTACACAAGAAGTGAAACTGTAAAGGGAATCTTATCTGTCAGTCACACAAGGCTAGAAAGTTGTCTTGCAATTTTAGAAAGGACTGAAAGACTGGATTGACTGGTCGACTTCTGCAAAACTTGACCATAAGCCAGGTGAATACCATTGCTTGACAAATTTTAGTTGCCTTGCTAGATTTTTTTTTTCTCGGTCACCCTATAGTTGCTACAGTTTTTATTCATCTAACGACATCTGACGTGTGGATGTAATTGAGAATAAATGCCACAAGAAGGGACATTTTGGGCAGAAAGGCATGCAAAGCTCTAAGTATAAAATGAGCAAGAAAACCTAGCCGCACGTGGTGTTATAATTAGAGTAAGGCAGGCTGGTGGCTGACACACAGGAAGAGAAGAAATACAACAAATGCAGTGAATTACTTCACTTGTTAGACAGACAAGCACCACCAGTGTGCACGGTGGCATTACCATCTCCCTGCTTGCGCATATTACTTCAGATGAATAACTTGCAGGAGCTGTCTGATAATACAAAGATGATTGGAGTATTTCACCCTACAAGGAACAAGGGTGTCTGCTGATTTTTTTCAGGTGGATAATGGTGCTGTTTTTATCTCATCTTGGAACAGTGGTATTAGCACCAAAAGAAAAGCCAGGCATCAGGAGAAAAATGATTGAACTTAAGTTCTGTTTGTTACCTGTTCTCACCCTCACACAGAGCAGCTTACAGGATTAAAACCCACAGATTCGGAAAACCAAAAATCCACTAACACCCAAGGAAAATAGTGTCTGTTGTTTGTTTAAGTGTCTGATAGCTTTAGTTTCAACAGGAACCAAGGAAGCGTAGAAGGGACTTACAGAGGCAACTGGAACCAGGGAGAAATGTGTGTTCTCAATACCATACCAAGGCGAGCTGAAAGGAATTCAGCCTCTCCCCGTTCCTTAGGCTGAGGGGAGCTCACCCAGATCAATCCCAGATAAATTCTCCCAGTTACTTTCTTCCTTCTTCCCGTACGTGCCTGGGTGTTGAGCATTACATGAGAAACAGTCCACTGTCCGTAGCACAGCTCATTAGGCCACCCTGAAGGGTCCCATGGGAAGAGC